GGCATGAGTGACCGTTCGAAGGGCATCCCAATCCAGGAAAGGGCGTAACTGATGCACAACCTGAGGTTGTACCACCTGCTCTTCGAGCAGGAGCTGTGAGTCCAGGAGGACCCCCAGATTACACGGTGGGTCTGTCTGGGGCAGGGCTACCCCATCCAGCACCAAAGATGACAAAGTCCTGGATACAGAGGAGCCATTAACCCACAGCCACTCCATCTTACCAGGGTTCAGCCTGTTGTTCCCCATCCAGACCCTTAGAGCCTCCAGGCACTGCGAGAGGGTGGTCACGGCATCACTTACCTCGCCTGGGTGGAGATGTATAATTGAGTATCATTGGCATACTGATGATACCTCATCCCATGATGACGGATGATCTCACCCAGCGGTTTCATGTAAATGTTGAAAAGGAGCAGAGAGAGAACCGAACCCTGCAGCACCCCACAAAGGCGGGGCTGAGGATGGGACCTCTCACTCACTATCACCACCGATTGGGATCCACCCTGAAGAAAGGAGATGAACCAGCACAAGACCGTGCCATCCACCCCCAGGTTGGGCCACAGGACCATCTACAGTGGAGTGGGAAGGAGTTTTCATGCTATTTGGCAGATAAAGTCCCTCGGATTCACTCATAATTGGACTCCGATTGGGCAGGTTTGAATGAGTTGCCCAAGGTACAGTCTTGTGAGGTTATCTGGACTGAATTCGATTCTATCATTCCCATGATTTTGGACAAGGTCCTCCAATCCGTCAGTCTGACCACTTGTCTATTAGATCCTGGACTACTTTGAGACTGATGGGAGTATGTAGACATTGGACCTCCATCCATCTTTGCTACTGGCAAGACTTCTCTGACAGGGGTTGCGCTTAAGCAACCTTTTACATTTTTACAAAAATGTAAAGGTTGGGTATAATTGCAGTTCAGGAATTGGAACATCAATATACATGGTTTCAGATGGTCCTGTTATTGCCACATTTTGATCTGAAAGTCATAGACTTGTCAGTATAACTATACAGTGGCTGCTGCTTCTCAAAAACCTGTATGTTATCCTGGCTATATTCAAAGTATTTAATATTTATCAAGACATCAAGAATTCTTGGGGGCAGGGAGGGAGTGCAAGGGGATAGCCAAAATAATTATTATACAACATTGGAAAGAAAAGTCTACATCTCACTTGCAGCAAGATAATGCTTTTTATTATTCATTAAATTATGTGCAGAATTTTCTCAAGGCAACATGTATTGCATTCCCTTCTTCTCCCATTCTTTTTAGACTTATTTTATTTCCTGTTTTATTTCAATGGGTCTTTAGCCCATCGTAAGATTGTGGGTGACTATCAGTTTCTTTTAATGCTTAATGGGAAATATTATTTTATTTTTATTTTATATCTCTTTGTTGTGCACTTCCCAAGGTCTTATAGTTGGGTCACTATGCAAAAATTGTAAAATTAATCATTTAATCAATTTTCCGGGCAACAAGAACTCAGTGAGGTAAGTTGAGATGAGAGAATGACTGGCTCAAATTCACACAATGTGTTTTCATGGGTCTTCCTGGTCTTAATCCAACACTTAACCACTGTGTCACACTGGCTCTGTGGTGATATATGCTGTTGGTGGATCTTTCAATTTTTTAACTAATGGAATGAGGACTTATGAACAACATATTCTAATTCTTTTATGATGCAAATTTGCAGGCTTTGATTTTTCTCCATTAACTTTACCATAGGTGGTTAATACTGATATTTCAATCTACACAGTTTTTAAGTACATAATTTTAGCATGCAAATTTGATATTTGTATTTTTTTCATGATTATATTGTTACCATTCTTCTTGTTTGTTTAATAAAGCAAAATACATATTTTTAAATGTGGGATGTTATAGTTTTTTTAGTAATTCACAAAACTAGTTCTACTACTAGGTTGAAAGTGTTATGAAAGAACAGAAAGTAACTGTTATTTAATGTATTATTGCTGCAGAGATTTTCTGCAACAGATTCTGGATTTTCTGCCCCATGTATCAATATAACTTTGGGTAATATGTGGCTTTACCTGAGTGATACTGTTTGTTCTGGTACAAAGGGAGCAAAATGTTTTGGGTTGGCTCTCATAATCACTGTGTTGTTTTAAAAAAAAAACAACTTTTTTTTTTAAAGCTATTAGCTTATTTCTGATGTATCCACAGCTGCTGTCTGTTTCAAGCATGTATTATAAAAATAAATTTTAGCATAACAGTACAAACATGATGTAACAAAGTACTCATCTGACATACTTTAAGACAACTTGTCAACCTGAATAGCGAATTTCCAATTTTAAAAACTTTAAACAATATATACTTCAAAATATTTCACACAAGATTAAACACAGAAAGTTTTTTTAAGCTAGAAGTAATATTACCATACTGTTTACAGAGGTGTTAAGAATCAAATGGTTAAGTGTGGTATAAACTCTAAACTTGGTTTCAGTATGACTGTCCAAAGTTATTATATTCAGCATTCATCTGCATTCCCTGTTTATGGGAATGAAATATGTAGTCAGTTGAAGTCCACAATATGTATACTGTGTTTGTAATAACTGCAGATTTTACAAGCACATTATTCTTTCCATTAGGATTAAAACCTCACCGAATAGCAATTTGTGAAAGAATTCTAGCAGAGCCCTGAGCCCAGAACTCTGACCTCTGATGAGATGCTTGGCAGAAACAAACTCTAAGTCTAGGCAAAACATCTGGTTTCAGTTAGACTTCCTAAAAAAAATAGCCCCTGTACTGGGGAAACTGGTATTCACTTAGCTTTGTCTATAGACTTTAACTGACTTCAGTGCTGCCGCAGGAAAAAAAAATACCGAACCAGGATGGCTGTCAATCACTTCAGGCTTCTTGGTGGCCTGTGCAGAGGCAACCGTTTACATTCAAGAGACACTGTATGTTATTTGTTCATTTTTCCTCTGTGTTTTCCTTTTTTTTTCTTTTTTTGCATGATTGAAAAAACAAAAATAAGTAAACAAACCCTAAAGCATTTAAATCCATGGATGAATCATGCATTAGTTCAAGTTCATTGCTAAATGCAATCTTTGATGAATTAAAAAAAAATGATGCAAAAATGAAGCTGCATAATAAGAGAGAACTGATGTAGCATGGAGGTAAAAGGCCTGTTCTTCAAATAAGGGAATTCACAGCCTTCATTTTCTAAAGGTCATTCAGAAAATGCCAGGTAATATCCAAATAATGTTCTGCAATAACAATAGCATTTCATAAGCCAGATTCTTAAAATGCACAAATTTGCTTGGAAATAATGAGGCTTTGGAATTTAAATTCAGGGCCATGCTAGCTTCCCCCCAACTTGGTACCTTCCAAATGTATTGTGACTACAAATCTCAGAATTCCTACATTACATGTGGATGCCTGATGGTTGAAAGGGAAGCATCTAATAGACACACTATTAATACACAGCATGTTTTATTGAAACTGACTCACTAAAATCACTTCCAGGAATTATCCCCTTATTAGATTCTTTTTAGATTCTTTTTTTTATCCTGCCTTTATTATTTTCATAAATAACTCAAGGCGGCAAACATACCCAGTACTCCTTCCTCCTCCTATTTTACCACACAACAACCCTGTGAGGTGAGTTGGGCTGAGAGAGCGACTGGCCCAAAGTCACCCAGCTGGATGCCCCCTGAATGCCTGAATTTTGGCTGTGACTGGGGAAGGCAGGCAGGCAGGCAGGCAGGCAGGCAGACAGACTTCTCTAAGTTCCCTATGATAATTATTCTGCTAACCCATTTATTTTTACACTGATCAGCCTAGCCTTGATGTGTCTTCAACACTCTAGTGCAGATGAATCGGAGGAGAATGCATCATCATCCCGTAATCAGACTGAGCTCTTGGCTTTGGCTGTTGTTTTGTTTTGAGCAAATGCAGCCCTTACTCTCATACAATGCATCATGGTTAGCTGACATATAAACATTACAAATGCAAAGACTTCAGTTTTGCCTTTTGCCTCTACCTGCCTACTTGGGAATTCAAAATTATTTTTTCTCCTTCTTTACACTTGCCAAAATGTTGTTAGCTTGAAGAATTTTTTTCAGGTTCATACAGCTTCATAAAACATATAGCCTTTATTACTTTAGTTTATTTATATTTGTTTGAGTCTCCAAGGTGAAACTCCAGTGGCGGCAGTGTTACAATTCAAACAAGCCACGGCTTATTTTATAAATGTGCCTTTGAGAAATGGTGTTGTATTAGTATGAATGAAGAGAATTAGTAATCACATGTCTTTTATTCAGTGGGGGAATATGAAAAAAGTCATTCTAGTATTATAATTTTTACTTTTTAAAAAAGCATAAAATTATTATGTTGTTAGTCAAGCTTCATTAAACTGGGTCAGATCCAACAAAACAGAAGCATTATAAAGCTTTTGTGTGTGTAGTTTTCAGAAATGCATTTGGGACCTTCAATATCTCTATTTAAAATGCTATGTTCTTAATATAGACATATTTTAGTTAAAGCTGAAGGTCAGAAAGCCTAAAAGAGTTTACATTTGGGTGACTTGCTGACTGTGATTTATCAAAATGTATATATTGCTGTTTCATCTTGTTATGTTAGAATTACAATTAAATTGGACTTCCAGGGAAAGAATGGTGAACTGAAGATGGCTCTGTAAAAAGCAGAGCTGGTGAGTGGACTGGCTCTTCATAATTCTTCTCTGGACAAGGAGAAGACTTGAGATTGCCTACAAATGCTCCAGACAGTTGCTCCCCACAAGGAGACCACAAGACAGCGGTCTCTGGTGGGTTTAGAGCTCTGAGAGACGAGGAACGGTCATCTTGCTCAAGCCACAAGATTGGTGCCTTTGAAAGGACACTGGGTTTGCATATTTACTTTTCTAACTGCTTTTCGGCTATTAGGAACCTTTGGGTCAACAGGTTTCACAGCACCAGCTGAGTTTCGATCAATACTTAGCAAAAGAAGTTTTAAATACATCTTTAAGGACTTATTATTTTTTTCTGGAATAAACAGCAAAGGGGTGATTAAAACTTTGTTTTTAGAAAGTTACAAACAGACTAAGGGGCCAGATAAATTTGAAATAAGATTTTGGA